ATTTTGGCCTTACTACTATATTTCCACAATTTATGTACCATTTTCATTCGTATTTGGCACATACATCATACATATCAGTGTGTTTCATAATCAGATCAAAGATGGCTGAATAACGGCTGTTTTTATTTTGGCCATATTACTATGACACGAAACACGTGTTTTGATGTAAATAAACAATCTGTTGTATACGCCACTTGGAACTCAAGTTTCAAGGACACGCTCGCGACAACCCCTCCGCTTTAATATGACGAGCACAAAGAGAACTTAACGGGGACTGTGTCATTTTCAATGACTTGTTTTTATTTAGATTGGATCGAATAGAACCACTCAGCTTTCCATGCCTTTTTATTAAAAAATGCTTTAAAAAATTAATTTTTATGAATTGTCTGGTCTGGTTTTACTACTTTATGATACTGTAGAATACTTCATTGGCGCTTGGAATTTATTTTCGCTATTTGTGCCGGAGGGATGATTCTGTGAAAATAAAATCCAGCAAATATACTTTTTTCCTATCTTTCACATTAAACTCATCAATAATCAGTGAAAATAAATTCCATACAAAACATCCAAAATACCTTTTCAGCGAAAATTAATTACAGCAAAAATAAAGTATTCCACAGTAACTACAAGCACTGGATTCATTTTGTCAGTGACGAGTGGTTAAGCCAAGTGTTGTGATTTTTTGTTGCAGCATTGTTGCAACCAGTATTATGCTTTGTTGTGTAGTATTGACACGTTGTTTTCTATTTCCTTTGGATATCTGCACAGGCTTTCAACAGGGGATGTGTTAACACATACTCAACAATTTGTCTTCTTTATTTTGCTTTTAAGCAGGGAGGAAAGATTCCTATAAGGTGGACGGCACCAGAAGCAATAGCTTACAAGAAATTTACATCAGCAAGTGACGTTTGGAGTTACGGTATAGTCATGTGGGAAGTAATGTCATATGGTGAACGGCCATATTGGAATTGGTCAAATCGAGATGTAAGTAATTTGTATTTGTTTTTGTCTTGAAATCATATTTTAAAATGTTTGTTCAAACACTGTCATAGCATTTTGGTGCTATTTATAGCCTTCTCCTGTTGCATTATCACATTAATAATTTGATCACTGCTTGTATTTCATGGATTTTTCAACATGTGTACATAATAGAATGAAAACAAATAGTATTCCGTGAATCAGAAATGAAGTCGTTACTCACTAGATTCATTATATATACTTGTTATAGTATTATGACCATGTATGGTTTGTCATCATCTCACTGTATAGTCTATTTGAATCAGAATGAGAACAAGGACAATAATTCTCTATATAATAATTTTAATTCTATTTTAAGTCTGAATTATGTTGCATTGAATCTATGAGACATTTTCTCATCAATAAATGATTAAGCAGCATTATAATGACAAAATACTGTAATTATGGACAAATCCATGAAGGCATAAATCTGGATCATGCACGTTTTATCTTTATTAAGCCGAGAAAATTCATCATTTTAGAAATAGCTGAATACTCATGCTGTATTAATTCATAAAAAGCATTAAGTCTGATTAGAATAAAATAATCAGTCATTCAAAAAAAGAAAATAATACTAACATGAATTATAGTGTACAACTAATGAAAAAGTATACTTGGTGTTGATTTTAACTTTGACCTGATAACCCAAACTCTCTTAGATCGTTCTGTTCTTGCACTGCGTTGATTATTTCGTTAGCAGCTGTCTAATAGTATTTAGGTATAAATTGTAGCATTGTCACTTTCTTTATTACTGTTTGTAAGTCTACTGACACTTACTTCATTAGTACTGTCCATATTAATCTAGAATAGGGTATCTTTTAATATCCTTAGTAGGTACTCTGCTAATCTTTAGATTCATTACTCCTGACCCAATTAAGAATTAAACATCATTGATGATGTCGATGTGATTGCATTGTTACAAATTTGCTTATTTCAGCTCAGTTTACTGTAAAAAACTTTATTTTACCAGGAATTAATTTTCAATGAAAAGACTTTTTGGATGTTGTGTATGGATTTTTTCCCCTGAGTTCTGACTAGATGGATGTAAAACACAGAAAAATTATATTTGCTGGATTTTATTTTGACTGAATCATTTCTTCAGCGAAAAAAAGTATTTTACAGTATATCTTGAGCTGCCGTTGCCTGTATTCCTGGAAAACTGTTAAACATAAATTTTAAATTGATTGCACTCCAAATTATGGTGCAAGCGTGTGTTTAACAATAGGTGAGTTGCATGAAAGATGCGCGTTGAACGTCTGCCTCAAAAATCAAGCGATTTGATTTTGAACTCAAATTTCTTTATTTCGTAGCTCACATCAACCAGCCGATCTTCAACAGAGGAATCTTGCATTCGAATACCAACGAAATTGTCTATCATCAAATGTTTACAGCACATTATTAAGCATTGATATATTCCCCAAAATACTTTCACGTTTGTTGAATCCCACGTGATGTTTGACGCCACTACGATGCTATGACCTTTGTTTGTCCTATTTTTTCCGTTCAGGCATTACGAGTGATTCTCGCAGTGAAAGGAAAATGGTCAATTGGACTTATTTCTCTATATCATTTGCCTGTACTCATTGAGTACTAATCTCAGTAAACTAATAAGAGGAAAAAAGAAAGATATTTTACACTCGGAATAGTGTGTTGTTGTTTTTCAAACTGAATCCCGATATCATGTTGACAGTACAAATACAGGGTCCATAGCGATGGGAAAATTCTTTGGAAGTCGCTGGATTTTTTGAAGTCTGGAAAGTCTTTAAATTACAGGAAAAATAAAAAAATCTTTGAAAAGTCTTTAAAATTCTTCATAGTTATTAATTCAGTTGTCTCCAGGGAACTACCATATCCTCAGAACTTTGATGAGCTTTGGTGATGATGTTGGCCTGAATTAAAGGTCAAAAAGTCTTGGAAAAATGCAAAAAAAGTTTTGAAAATGGTCTGGAAAAGTCTTGAAAATCATTTGGCTGTTGGTGCTATGGACCCTGAAATAACTTATTGGATGAGTAGGCCTTGTTAAACTTAAAGTAATAATTATAATTGGTTTGTGACTATCCTGGAGGAATACGTTCGTCGCGTACTCATCAATTAGGTCTTATCTTGAGATGAAAACTCAAGTAATTAGTATTAATGAACAAAGTCTAATTAACAATTTGTAATTACTGAATTTGGATGACAGATAAGACATTCTTAATTATATATGATGAGTCATTTGTCAAAGGCTTGTTACAGAGTGGAGTGCATTAATCTTGAGAGAGCCTTGCATACCAACACCCTAGTCCCAGCTGCAGTGCAGACATCTTCTTTAACCATCAGTTAGGGAGCCTTGCATTCCAACTTTTATGCATCCCAGTCCCAGTCCCAGCTGCAGTGCAGACTTTATCCTTCAGTTAGGGAGCCTTGCATTCCAACTTTTATGCACACCAGTCCCAGCTGTATTGCAGACGTCCTCTTTGTCTACCAGTTAAGGAGCCTTGCATTCCAACTTTAATATAACTTGGTTGTAGTGCAGATATCCTATAGTACTCTAGCCCCAGCAGTAGTCCAGAAATTTTTTATTCATCAGTTAGGGAGCCTTGTATTCCAACTTTAATACTCTTTAGTCTCATTAGTAGTGCAGAAATCCATTTTATTCATCAGTTAGGGAGCCTTGACAGTACATGTTCTGAACAGACTTAGAACAAGTCTACTAACTGCTGACATAACACCAAAACGAAGAAGCCTTCTCTGAAATTTCATCAGTGTAAAATGAATCCACTTCTGACACCATGTTAATATAATGTCATTAAAACCAAAATAATTGATATTAAGATGATAAAATTGAAGTCATTAAAACCAGCTTTCATTGATCACGAAAGCAAAAAAAAAAAGAACTTGTATTATCCAAAGCTTGAAAGCAATTTGTCAAATCTTTAACGTCTTTGTAGGTGTTATCTTCCCACCTTGCTGTCTCCACTCTGCTTTTAAGTCAGTAGATGCTATGAAAACACCATCACATTCAATGTGAAGAGCTTACATGATCAAAAAATCCATAAAAAACAGAGTTCACATGTTCAAAATAATTCTTACCTGCTCTACGTGTTTCTTTTCATACCCTTCTGTATTACGATAGCACTGATTTTTGTTCTAGAATTTTAATATATTCAGTCATTATTTTTGTTTTGAGAATTCAGAATCAAGTGAAGACGAGAGCTGACACAATTTCCCATACTCCTTTTCACTGTTGATGTTTACCCCCATTGTCTTGTCTATTGTCACCTTCTGAACATCAGACTTGTGGTATTCCATATTCTTTTGGCCTTATCATCTGAATTGTTCTATTACTCAGTGTTTTTATATCAGGATTCCTAGGTTTTGAAATGGATGTTTCCAATCAAGATATCTTATCTGTCTTTGATTGAGGGCAGAAGTTAACCAAATTTGACCAAAAACATAATAATCACCAGAGTTGATCTTATCAGCTTTTTCCTGCAAATAACCGTAGTGTATTTAACAAGATGTGCCATAATGATTTTATTTTTTAGTTGTTTAGTTTTTTGATGTTAACCGTCAAACTATCGATCTTTGCAATGAGTAATGATTGTTGTAGGAAAAAAGTTATCACGTAATCTTTCTAATGAGATTTTATGTATTACTGATTTTACCATGTATACAATTTTCTACCTTGTTAAGTGTTTTAGATGTTCAGTTAAGAAAATAGTTCACATTAAAACTGACTGTGGATTCCTTGTTTTTTCAGGACTTGTATCATAAAATCTAACACGTATTTGTTATTCAGTAGATGTTTCGCAGACAGTTTTTTCAAAAAATTTGACAAATAACCCATCAGTAGTGACATTAAAATGTAAATTAATTAAACAGATGAGGTATTAGAATACAGAATAGAACAAATGGGTCACCTCATCTGGAACGGTGATGTGGGCTGGAAAATGGAATCATCTCATCTGAATATGAACTGAAAAAGTTGTATATTGATAATAATATTGATCCAAGTTTTGTGAATATATTTCATGAAATAACATTTAATTTTGTCAGTTTTCAGTGTGATATTTGTTTATTCAATAGAATGTCACCATTTCCATAGAGTAAAACTCAGTATATTTATTTAGTACAAAAAAGTATTTAAATTCCTCACAGGAAATTTGCACTTTCAGGGTTTTTCTATGTTTTCTAAATACCTGTATTACTATACATATTGTTGTTATATGTAATTGTGATGTCACTACAATTTAAAATAATGTTTAATTTCCTATATTTATCAGCAGTATATTTTCACACAAAGACTTAATTTTCCATTTTTTTCACGCTTGAAAGATTTATTTAATGACTTGTGTGTTTTATGGCTGGGATTTTGCTTTGAAACATTAATACTTTATTTTTCTATGTCTTCACTATTTAAGGTTAATGGCTACACAAAAATACAAATATTGTCATTTATTTTCACTGGCATTTAATCTAACGTTTATTTAATTTAGTAAATTTTAATTAAGGTGAAAATAGCAAAATTAATTACCAGTGAGTAATTAATATGTTTGCAATAAATTATGTTACAAGGTTGAATGAAATGAAACAAAATTATTAGGTCACTATACTC